GGCTCCTGTCTTAACTGTTCAACAATCCATGGCAAGTGCGTTAAAGGATTTTGCGTCTGTGACCTGGGCTGGGAAGGACGAAGCTGTGAACTTGAAGGTTGTAATCAGAATAAACAAAAACTGTTGCCGTTCATCTGCTTTAAACCGTGTTTATTTATTGAGTCCTAATAAAAAAAACAGGCAACTCTGTGTAGCTGCTTACTTCACGTTTCCTAAGACTATCTAAATGAATCAAGCAACCAATGTCGCATGTTATTGAGATCAAACTGGTTAATGGTTAGTTATGCTGGTTAGATTTTCTTGATTCAGTTTTTCAACCAACATTGTGTTTAAAAGGACTGAAAGATGGCCGCTGTCGTTTTCACCTGCTTCTGGAAGTTGAGCGCGGGCTTCAGATGCCAAAAGTAACGACCGTTGAAAACAAAAGAAAAAGGGGGAAAAACAACAAAAAAAGCAAGCCAAAAAAACACAAACTAGTCAAAACAATCAAACAAACATACAAAATGTCGAGTAACTCGTGCTCTTTTTGCAATACGCTATTTTTTCAGCATTGCAGGATTAGCTCAGAAGTTTTCTCTCACATGTGGATTTACTCTGTTCTTGCGTTATGGGTGACAAGTTATATGAAAACGTGTTATGACTTGTTCACCTCATGCCTTTATGTCACCTTAAGATACTAATGTATTGAAATTATTGTTATTTACAGCCACTTGCTTAGGGGTTAATAACTGTACAAGCCCTAAACACGGCAGTTGTAAAACAACGGACATTTGCCAGTGTAATCCTGGCTACATAGGTCAGTTATCTGAAGCTTTGTGTGGCTGTTTGTTGTTGTTGTTATTATAAATGCATACTAGATTACTTTTAAGAAAAAATTATAGATTAATGGTAACCAGTGCTATTGTATGTTATCGGTCAGCGGAGATGAACGAAAGAGAAGGCGGGAAAAATCGGTGGGGGTCTAGGGAGGAGTGACAAAAAACAATATTTCCTTCCCTTTCTTCGGCGCCCTACCCTCGCCTTTCTTTTCTCTCGCTCGCCCCACTTTCGGCCCGCTCCTGCACACTGAAAGCCTGGATTGGCTTACCGGGGGCTGGAAAACAGCCGCAAATGAACTGTTCAAAGGAACAGTTGGCGACGAAATTTATATGAAAAATTCTGGCTGTATAAGTTGATAAGTAGACTAGTAGTTTGCTTTGATATTCAATAAGCAACTTCGAATAACGAAGTACTCTATCAATTTTTTCCGTCTATTGTTACTTTCAGTTATTCTCAACAGTGATTTTCATCTAAAATTATCACGTCTCAGCCGCCTTGTGCTTATGAAGACGCACTCAGCTTATTATACTGCTTGCAATAATATTTGTTCTAAAAATAGGTACATTCCTCGTATCCACAGGTGCTAACTGCAGCATTGTTCCTACTTGTTACAATGTATCGAATTGTACTGGCAATGGAATCTGTGTGGATTTCGATGTGTGCAAATGTAATACAGGATGGACTGGAGGCAACTGCACCCAGTACTCGTGTGAACAATTGGATTATTGCTCAGGTAAGTTATCTCGGGCAAAATATTCTTCAAATAAATGAAAAGATGTATATTTTCCTTCTTTCCTTCTTCACTCCTCCCCTCTTTCTTTCTTTCTTTCTTTCTTCATCTTTCAGCTTTTTCCTGTTTTATTTATCTCTGGTTTAACTCTATCACATTTGTCCATTTCTCTCCCCCTGCTGTTTTCAAGAGCACGGTAGCTGCGTGGCTTTTGACAAATGCGCCTGTGATTATGGCTGGACCGGGGTAAGCTGCGCCCTTCCTGATTGTGAAGCTGTCAATCAATGTTCCAAAAAAGGAGAGTGCATTTCCAGCGACAAGTGTCGCTGTCTTCCAGGTTTTATTGGAGCGGATTGCGGTCAGTTGGCGGACTGTAGCCATCTCGCAAACTGCAGTGGCCAAGGCGTTTGCGTTTCTACCGAGATGCTGAATGTGTCTTGCAGTTGTTATCTTGGTTTTACTGGAGATAACTGCAGTCAGCCCACTTGCACAACCGTAAATAATTGTTCTGCCCATGGTGCGTGCGTGGAAGCCGAGTTCTGCAAATGTGACCTGGGATACATTGGAACTGACTGCAGTAACTTTTCTTGTGAGGCTGTCAACTATTGCTCCGGTAAGTACATCGTTTTGAAATTTAAAATTGTTTCGTCAATAATCTTTTCCCGAGTTTTTGTTACCAAAAAATGACACATCATTTGCCTCCCACAAAGATCCGTGAAAAATGGTTAGCAAGAGTGTCAATGTCTTTGGATGGTCGAAATTGTTGGGCACTTTCATCACGAGGTGCTTTACTCGCAACGACACCGGAGCTCAGAATGCTATATGATAATGATCTTAGGGTTCTCCCTGACATCTTTCGTTCCCAAGCTATTTTTAGCTTGTTAAATAAATAAATACGAATAAGACAAGGCTGACAAATGATGTTCTTTTTTCTTTGCTGCAGGAAACGGAAAATGTGTCGACTTCGATGTCTGCCTCTGCAATTCCTCCTGGTCGGGTCGAGCATGCAGCGTTCCTGATTGCAGTGCCGTAAAAAATTGTTCTGGTCAAGGAGATTGTATCCTACCCAACGTTTGTTCTTGTTATCCAGCTTTTGATGGTGCATACTGCGATCAGAAGGCAAAAACAAACATCAATCCACCAAAATTTATCCAAACATTTTACAACGCGGCTATTGTGGAAAATTCTCCTGTAGGAACAGTTATTTTACAAGTAAAAGCCAATGATACAGATTCAGGAAGAAATGGTCAGATATTTTATGCAATAATTGGTGACGATAGAGTAGAAAGTATTCTTACCATTGGGGGACAATCTGGAAAGATTTACAGTGCAAAGACACTGGATTTTGAGACGACTGAGATGAAATCATTCAACGTGACCATGGTTGCTGCAGATAACGGATATCCACAGAAATCTGGAATGGCTACTGTTCAGATAACAATTGTGGATGAAAATGACAATTGTCCAACCTTCATCGAGCCACCAGGAGATCTAAAACTAGAATTCCCTGCACTCATTCCCGGAGAAACCGTAACCAAAGTTTCTGCAATTGACTTGGACAGTGGAGTAAACAGTGACATAACTTATAGCCTATCCAAAAATGACGCATTCTCTATTGATCCTAGAACTGGTGTGGTTACCGTGGTGTCTAACTTGATGGAGAAAGTTCATCATCTCACTGTTAGTGCCAGTGACAACGGGGACGTTTCATGCATAACAGACATCAGTTTGACAGTTGAAATCGGCATCTCTCCGACGACGAAGCCTCGGACTAGATCTACCACTCCCTTCACAAACAGGAAATCTGAAACCTCTAGTACATCTACTTTGCCTGAGACTACGACTTTCACAGGTGAGTTTGTTTCCATTTGTAAATGGCGAGAACATCATCAAAGCGCTTTTATTGGCTAAATAGTTAAATGAAAACCTCAAACGAAAGAAAATAAA